CCAGCCTTCCGGGAGGAGGAGGGCTTTTGGAAGGACGAAAGCGAGCTAGGATAGTCAGAAAAGCTAATCTTTGTTGATTACTTCCTGTGTTCTGAATCCTCTGCTGATTGCTTTTCCTGCCTTTTATGAAGAAGTCTTTGAAGAAATCTTTCTACTACTTCCCATGATGGCGAGATACTATTGTTATTTCCTTGATTCAGAGATGCGTATTTTCTTCCACAATAAAGATTGCAAAATTCAAGTATATCTTATATCCAATGTGCCCACCCCACCCCACCCCGCAAAAAAAGCCGTCATTACAGGGCTGGCAGGTGGTGTGGTGGTTGGGGGTACTGGACTTCCACATAGGCAACCACGGTTCGAGTCCCAGACCTGGCAGCTTGCTTTCTCATTTTTCCTCTCTCTCTCTCTCTCTCTCTCTCTCTCTCTCTCTCTCTTTCTCTGTCCCTCTCTGGTCAAATTTAAAATAAGTTAATAAATAAATAAAGTTAAATAAGTACTTTTTAAAAAAGCAATTATTAAATATACATTCTACCAGGACCAGCAGATGGCGTAATGGTTATGTCGCTGCACTCCCATGTAATCAACTGTGGTTTGAGTTCTGGACTTGGTGGCTTAAAACTCATGCCGGATGCGCACGTGCACAAAATCCCAACAGGAGAATGGAGGAGAAGGGATTGTGGTGTGGTCACCCCCTGCACAGGCGATTTGTTGATTTCTGTCTCTCTCTCGCTCTCTCCGGAGAGCACATGCACCCTGTAGCAAAAAATCTCTCTTAAAAAATACTGGGACAAGGGACCAGCAGTTAGCGTAATGGCTATGTCGCTGGACTCTCATGTAGTAGACCATGGTTCAAGTCCCGGACCCGGTGGCTTAAACTCACGCCGGGTGTGTGTGCGTGCATGCCCAAGATCCCAAGAGGAGAATGGAGGAGAAGGGATTGTGGTGTGGTCACCCCCTGCACAGGCGATTTGTTGATTTCTGTCTCTCTCTCGCTCTCTCCGGAGAGCACATGCACCCTGTAGCAAAAAATCTCTCTTAAAAAATACTGGGACAAAAAAACCCATATTGTACCATATCACCTATACCTATGGTATGATTCAGGAGAGGTGATATTTTATATCTTACAGAGAAGTAGAGAAGTGTCAGTCATAACTTGTGCTATTTGAAGATCCTGTTTTGTGAAGACTGTTGTTAATTTGGTATTAATCTGTTGCTGAAGTTTTGAACTAGGAGTACAGACCTTTGGATTGAGTCAAGATGGAGAGCTAGTCCTTCTTGCCAGAAGGAGGAGAGCCTAGGCTCTGCATTCAGGGCTTTTCTCTGGAGGAAGTGCTACAGAAATGAGGAAGGCCTTATTAATACTTGGTTCCGGCAGCATGCTGGCTGACTCACGGGTAGCTAGCAATGTGAGGGAGTGATTGTCCTCATGACAAGTGTTGCTCCTGTTGCCTAAGCACCTACTCAGGTGCTTGGTAGACTTTTTCCCTGTAGTCTTTTTTTTTTTTTTTTTTAGAGTTTTTCTATTGGTTTTGTGGGCTTAAGAGTTTTGCTATAGGGTATGTGCGCTCACTGCAGAGATAAAGACAAAAAGCAGGAAATCACCCCCCCACCCCCCACCCCCCAGGGGATGGCTATGCTGCAGTCACTTCTCCATTTTCCTCTTGGAATTTTGGGCACACACACGCACCTGCTGTGTTTTAAGCCGGTAGACTATGTGGGAGTCCAGCGACATAACCATTATGACATCTGCTCATTCCCCCCTCCCCTGTAGTCTTAACTACACTCTGTGAGAAGAAGAGGAGTTACTGTCCCTACTTAATGGATGAGGATATTTTCAGCCTGGAAAGGTGAAACCAGGCTTTGTCCAGTATCACATAGTTAGGAGACAGCAGAACTTTTCTGCCAGGCAAAGGGTCAATGGCAGGGAAATAGAGACACCCTTATGGGGTTCCCCACTCTAGCTCCCTTCTTCCCTGTCCTACAAGCTCCATGTTTACCCCCATTCTCCTGCATCTTGTATGTAGCTCTTGCAGATAGATTTCCCAGGTCTGGAAATGACAATTGACCTTTCCAGTAGGAGACTTTCCATAAGGTAAGGTTTTCTCTGGCCCCTGAGCCCACTTCCCTGAGCCTGTCTGGCTGGTCTGTCTCTACTTAACCCCTTCACTTCCATCTCTGTTCCTGTTTACTGCAGCTGCCTGCTGTGCTGCCTCCAGGCACCCCAGGCTCAGCCAGCCTACAGAAATAGCTCCTCTAGCAGCTCTGGCAGCCACAGGCAGCTCTGTGGTCCTGTCTTCTAAGAAAGGCAGCAAGCCCCTCCTCTTCCCCCCCTCCCGCCTGTGCATGGGACATGTGACTTGCTGGAAGTGCCACAGGCAAGGGGGGGAGTGATGGGGGTGAGTATGGCCGCAGAACCCACATCCTTGTTTACATCGGTGAAGGGGCTACCCCTTCCCTTCCCGCCTTTCCAACCCCCACTTTCCTCACCCCTCAGATTTCTTCACCTCCAAGAGGACTTGAGACAGGCATGGGCTCATTTTCTCTCAGAGCAGCCTTTCTCTATCTCATGGTGCTTTTCAGAGAGGAAAGGGGAGGGTGGTGAAGGCTTTCCTCAGAGGTAGATTGGTGATCATGGAAGAACTCTGGAGTGGCCCCTGTATGACCTGATCCTACTCAGTACTTCAGGGAGATCCCATCAGATGAGGTATCCTCTGGGGAAGCAAAGGGAAATTCCCTTTTCAGCTCAGCTAGTGGAAACCGGCTTGCCTAATGGTCAAGCCTACTTTGATTTCCCAGGAAGAAGAGCTCCTTGGCTCCTCCAGCCTACCCTCAGCTGAGTGAGCCTTTCTTGGTTTTCTTTACTGTATTAGGCCCTGACCTGTGGGTAAATTGAGGTGTGAGCTGCCCTCTGCCTTTGATTGGAGCCCTATGTGATTGGGCAGAAGTCTGTGGCCACCTTTGATAAATCTGATGAGAGAGGTGGCCTGGAGGTGGGAGCTATAGTAAAGAACCTGTGGGTGCTAGAGAAATTGGCAGCTGAAGAGGATAGAAAGGGTGTCCTGAAGAGAGGGCCATTTGTTGTTTGAAATGCATGTGTGAAGATCCTCAAGCCAGGTAGAGAGACCAAATCCCTCACGCTCTGGACCTTTTGGGTATAGGCTGCTTTTCCTGAATTTGACTGAAGATAGGCACATGTGTGTCTTAGCTCTCTTACTAGCCTGTGTGCTCCTTGAAGTCGGGGCAGGATTTTACACACCTGTCACTTTCGCATTATCCCATATTCAGGCTTCGCTATGGACATGGGGACTCTGATTTACTGAGAGACTGCTCTGTCCCAAGCCCAGTGTAAGTTATTTTCCACCCATTATCTCATTTAAGCTCCACAAAAGGCCTGCCAGGTCATTATCCATCTTGTTCCCGTTTTACAGATAAAGAATGAGTGTTCATTTTACAGAACAGTTGGGTCACTTGCCTATGGTCACTTAGTAAGATATGGACTTAGGGTCTAGGTTTTTTTTCTTTTAAAAATTTTATTTATGGAGCCAGCAGGTAGCAGGGTGGTTAAGGTGCTGTACTCCTATGTGGCCAACTGTGGTTTGAGTCTTGGACCTGGCAGCTTGAAAATCACACCAGACACTTACATACTTATGCCCCAAATCCCAGGAGGAGAATGGAGGAGAAGGGATTGTAGCATTGGCATCCCCCCTGGGGGGTGATTTCTTAATTTCCTTCTCTCTGTCTCTCTGTCTCTCTCTAATGAGCGTACACACACTATGAGAAAAACTTAAAATTAAAAAAAAATTCTTGATAGCACATGTGCATGTATTTGAGGGGGAGAGAGAAAAAAAGACACTTGATAGGGTCTTGTCATACCATGATCCCTTTTCCCCAGCCATTCAGCTCCTCAGAACCTTGGGCACATGTGCACATGCCCAGCATGTTTTTAAGCTCACCCAAGGAACCAAATCATTATTGGCCATGTGGCTTTCAGCTCTGTAGTTCAACACCAGGGTAACCCTCTTTTCTTTATTTTTTATTCCTTTTTTTAAATTTATGATAGACTATGTACACTGACCCACCACAGGGTCTGGTCATGTTGCAGTCCACTCCCTCCAGACCTCCAACCTGTCTGATCTTGGGAGCTTGTGAACGTGCTCATCTTGTCTCAGGCCAACCTATCCAGAAATTCAGACTGTGGTTGCCATTAGGATCCAGCTTCTCTTGAGCATTGCATTACCACTACACCATAGAGCCAACCTGAGGGGGGAGTTACTTGTTTGCCATAGTGTCCTTACCACAGAGAGAAGGGGAAAGTATGAAATCACCCCCTAAAGGGGATGGTCACACAGCAATCCCTTCTCCATTCTCCTCTTGAGATTTTGAGCACACATGTACATACCCCTGGCATATTTTCAAGCCACTGGATCCCGGAATTGAACCATTCTGTCAGCCATGTGGGATCCAGCTGCCCCAAGGTTCATGCCACCTGCTAGCCCCATCCCAATTTTTTTCTTTTTTTTTTAAACATAGAGAGTCCATCCTGATTCCTGAGAGTCAGTAAAACTGAATTCCAGAGTTGACTCTATTACAGACTGATCCTTCGTAACCCTGAGCAACCCACAAATTCCCTGAGCCTCAGTTTCCTCACGTGGAAAGTATGGGGTATGTGTGGAATTGATGGTGCTCAAAGACAGCTTATGGGACTTAAAATGTTGATTTGTCTGAGTGGCCAGGCATGCTTTACACAAGGTCATCTGCCCAAAATCACTGGTTGTGCCCTGCTACCTGCACTTACTTGTTCTTCAAGACTGTCCCTGTCTGCCTCTTTCTCCATGACCCTGTTCTAGTCCATATGAGCAAGAACTCTTCAGACCTTGGGTAGGAAAAGTAGTTTCCATGGTCCCCCAGCTCTCTTCCCACCATGGATGTTCTATAACTCAGAACTCTTCTCTGGTGACAGCTTTGACCCTAGCCCCTCCTTTCTTCTGTCCCCACAGCTGACCAGGTGTATGGAGACCAGGACATGCATGAGGTTGTGCGAAAGCACTGCATGGACTATCTGGTGAGATCTTGTGAAGACTGTGGGATGGGTAAGATGGGAGGATCACCTTTCTGCACAGACCTTGTCCTAATACGCTATTCTGCAGATGAAGAATGCCGACTACTTCTCCAACTATGTCACAGAGGACTTCACCACCTACATCAACCGGAAGCGGAAAAACAACTGCCATGGCAACCACATTGAGATGCAGGCTATGGCAGAGATGTACAACCGTCCCGTGGAGGTGTACCAGTACAGCACAGGTACTTCTGCAGTGGGTAGGTGAGGGACTGGTGGCACCTTATCAGAGCTTGCCCTACCTGGGCCACTGTGTGTGCTTCCTCCTTCTCTTTCTCTGCAGAACCTATCAACACATTCCATGGGATCCATCAAAACGAGGATGAACCTATCCGTGTCAGCTACCATAGGAATATCCACTATAATTCAGTGGTGAATCCTAACAAGGCCACCATTGGTGTAGGGCTGGGCCTGCCATCATTTAAACCAGGGGTAAGTGAATCCCTCAGCCCAGGGTGCTGTTGGATATAGAAGTCAGAAATCTCTGTTGGAGTCTCATTTCTGACCTTAGCCCACAAAAATGTCCATCTTCTGTCTGCTCTCCCCTGAATTCTAAATCCTCTATGAACCTGGGGTGTTGGGCTGGCCTCATAGTCTGGTGATTATGGAAGTCAGATTCCACATGGCTGACCACAGCTTGAATCATAGCCCCAGTGGCTTGAAGGGCTTGCAGGTGTGTGTGCATGTGTGCCTTGAATTCTGATGGAATGGAAAAGGAATTGCTGTGGGACCACACCCTACTGGAGTGTGCTTTCTCCCTCTCTTCCTCCTCTTTGGCTCTCTGTGGAGCACATGTGCCCTCTGGTGATTAAAAAAAAATAAGTTACCTGAAGTGATCTCTCAGGGTTCATTCATTTCTTAATTTTTAAAATTTTAATGTGACAAAGAGTGCATGCATACACGAGATGAGGCCATACCCCCACCAGCAGGGTCTGGTCATGCTGCTATCCTTTGTCAATTCTCTTATCTTGTCAAGATCCTGAGTACACATTTATGCCTGGCATGTAAGCTGCTGGAACCAGGACTCAAACCTTGGTCAGCCATATGGGATCCAGCTTACTCTGCACATTTAACCACTGTGTTACAGGGCTGTCCTTTTCAGGGTTCATTTTGTGTTCTTAGTTTGCCTATGAGCTAGCTCACCCATCTCTGTGCCTGTTGAAGGCTGACATTTTAGGATATATAATCCTTTTTTTAATAATGATTTTATTCAACTTTATTGTATTTATTTATTTAAATTTGACCAGAGAGGGCGAGAGAGAGAGAGAGAGAGAGAAAGCCGCCAGGTCTGGGACTCAAACCGTGGTCAGCCATGTGGGAGTCCAGCGTCCTTAACCAGCACACTACCTGCTGGCCCCAGGATATATAGTCCTATTTGGGAAGAGAGAGCCAGGGATTAGCCTGGGTATCTTGACCTCCAGGTGGATTTTCCTCTAAGACTTACAGTGATTACAAATAGCTGTGGTCACAGAGACTTGGAATGCAGGCCTGCCCCCACTGCTAACTGGCTCTGGGACCGAGAGCAGATCATAGAAGTACTCTGGGCTGACAGCTTGGCTGACACAGAAAGCACCTCTCACTCAGCCTAAGGCCTAGTAGGTGTTCAGAAAGTGGCAGTACATTTTCCCAGCACACAAATAGATTCTCATTCTCTCTCTCAAGCATAATCATTTGCTGGAGATTTTGATATCTTCTGTTCAAGTTTTACTTCCTATAGACCAAAAGTGCACTTGCCTCATTTTAGGAAACATACTATATCACCGACATACCCTTCAATATAAGGGTCTTTTGTTTTTTAATAAACTTATCATTTTAGAATAGTTTAAGGTTTTTCTTTTTTCCCAAACTCATTATAGAGCGTGCGTGCACATGAGGTCGAGGAGAGGAACACCTTTCAGTGTCTAGTCACACTGAAATCTCCCTCCAGTCCTCCAGCCCTCCAGCCCAGTGGATTCTGGGTACTCAGATACATGTCCAGTGTGTTTCAGGCTGACCGGTCTGGGGATTTGAACCACAGTCACCATATAGGACCTGGCTTCTCCTCAACAGTGCATTGTGGAGCCAGCCCTGATTTTAGAATAGTTTTGGGGCTAGTGGGTGGTATAGTGGTTAAGGTGCTGGAGTTCCACATGGCTGAATGTTGAGCCCCGGACCTGGCAGCCTGAAAATCATGCTGAGTGTGTGTGTACACGTGCACAAAGTCCCAGGAGGAAAATGGAGGAGATGAGATTGCAGTGTGGCCATCCCCCCTTGGGGGGTGATTTCTCACTTTCTCTCTTACTGTCTCTTTGCCTCTTTCTGGCAAGTCTACATGTCCTATGGCAAAAAAGCTAACAAAGTTTTAAATTTACGGTTATTACAAAAATACTAAAATTTCCATATATATGACCATGATTATTAGCATAGTACATTTGTCATGAAGCCAGTATTGATACATGTTATTAACTAAAGAGCATACTTTATTCAGATTACCGCAGTTTTCCACTAATGACTTTTTTTTTCCAGGTTTGTACCACATTTAGTTGCTGTATCCCCTTTGTTGCCTCTTGGCTATGGTAGTTTCTCAGAATTTCTTTTTTTTTTTTATCGGTTTACTGACTATATAGTTTTGCTTTTTCAAAAATGTTCTATAATTTGAGTCATAGTGTGTAGCTTGATCAGAATGGTTTTTTTCACTTAACACTATGCATTTAAGGTTCATCCCTGACTTTTCCTGGTTTGATTGCTCATTTTGTTTTTCTTTCTTTAAAAATTAGAATGCTTTAAGTTTTTAATTAACAAACTTATTTTTTAAAAAGTTTTAGATTTACAGAATAATCAAGATATTAGAGTTCCCATATATCCCCCCTTTCCTGCACTCAGTTTCACTATTACTAACTTCTCTGATGACAGTTGTACATTTGTTACAATGCGTGAACCAATATTGATACATTATTATGAACTGAAATTGTCACTTCTCCTTGGGCTCTCTTGTGCCTGTGACACTTTCTCACACTTTCCTTGTTTCGGTGACCTTGACAGTTATAAGGAGTATTGGTCAAGTATATCATAAGAAGCTTCTCTTAGAATTTGCCTAATGTTTTTCTCGTGATTAGACTGGGGATACGGGTTTTAGGGAGGAGGATCACAGAGATAAAGTGCCATTCTCATTATGTCATATCAAGAGTGTATACTATGAATGTGATTTGTGACCGTTGATGTCCTTGGTCACTTTGCAGTAGTGTTTGTCAGGTTTTGTCACCATAAAGTTACTCTTTGCCACACTGTTCTGCTTGGAAGGAACTCATTGTACACAGCCCACACCTAAGAAAGGGGGGTTATGCTCTATTTCCTCAAGGGCAGAGGATCTGTGAAAATTATTTGGAAGTCTTCTGCGAGGGAAATTTGTCTCATGCTTCATTTATTGATTTAGTAAATCATCAATTTATATCAGTATGGATATATAGGTATTTATACTTGGTGTTGTAATCCAATACTATATTTATTTTGTTGCTGAAATTGCTTCAGGTTTTTTTTTCTTTTTTTAAAAAAAACACATCCTGGGGCCAGTAGGTGGTGTGGAGGTTAAGGCAGCTGGATCCCCCCCATATGGTTCAAGTCCCAGACTAGGTGGCTTGAAAATCATTCTGGGCATATATTTGTGTATGCCCAAAATCCTGAGAAGAGAAAGAAGGGATTGCAGCATGGCTGATGCCCCCTAGGGGGTGATTTCTTATTAATTTGTGCTCTTTCTTTCTCTGGCGAGTGTACACAAAAACTTAAAAGGGGGGGAGACATTACTTTCTGGTGCCACAAGGTGCTTCAGATTCATCTTTTTTCCTTTTGTTTCACCACAATGCCCTAGAACATGGATACAGTGCTGCCAAGCTCTTAGCAGTAGTGTAACAGGGATGACCTTTTCTCCAGTTTCCAGTAAGGTTTCTTCATTTTTACTTGAGACCTCATCATCATACTGACATAGCACCTCCCATTGGGCCTGGGACTTAGCAGATGTTGAAAAGGCGGCAATACATTTTCCCAGCATCCACCAATAGATTCTCATTCTCTTATAAATATAGCACCTGCTGGGGATTTTGATGTCTTCTATTCAGGTTTTACTTCTTACAGACCAAAAAGTACGTCTGTCCTATTTTAGGAAACACAGGGGTCTTTTTGTTTTGTTTTTTAATAAACTTGAGAACAGTTTGTAATTTTTTTCTTATTCATGATATAGTGCATGCATGCATACATGCATCCTTATATCCTTTTTGTTTATTTCTTTTATGAGAAAGAGTG